AATGATTATAGGAACATTCTGTGAAGAAAAAGAAGAAAAAAGACAAGCATTCAAAAAAAGTAAAGAAAGAGAAGAAAAAAAAGAACAAGAAACAAAAATATGAAAAAAACAATGAATCAGCTGATAGCTCATCAGTAAGTACGTACTAAAATTGATCAGAACAGCTATTTGAGATATTTTTATTTGAAAGAATGATATATGGGAACTAAAAATGTATGAGAACTCAAGATATTACTAGTTAGATATGAAAACATCTGTGAGACATCTACTTGGAGATGTACAGGAAATATTAGAAATGTGGATCTTGGGTTTCAGAGAATGTTTAAGAAGACAGGGATACAATTTGGGAATCATTGCTAGTTAATCCATCCATTAGAACGGATGACATGTCTAGGGAAACTGAAAAGAAAGATGAATACCAACACTGAAGAATCAGATAGGAAATAAAGGATGCTAAGTAAAAGTAGTTGGAAAATTAGGAGACATGGGGAAGACCAGTGTTGTAAAAATAAGGGAAAAGAGTTTCAACACATTTGAGAGTCTGTCACCCCTGTTTGTTTTTTTGTAGAAATTAACATTTAAGTCTTTAAAAGTGGATGTGTTTTATGTACTTACCTTTGGGGTCAAAAGGAAGAGAGTATTGGGTTGGCTGTGTCTCTTGCCAGTTCTGGACCGAGGAGGACTCATAGAACAAAAGAAAGTAGGTCAAATCCTTCATACTTGTTTTGAGGAAGAAAGAGGTTATGCATAGAGAGTGATGAGCTAGAGATATGTAGGGGTAATTGGTCTCCCACGTACAAACTTCATACAGTTATCCTTTCAGTTGCATCACCATAGTCAGAAGTCTGGATCACCTGTTGTTTCAGAAACTAAATTTTTGGCAGTAAACTATCGAAGATAAACACAGCTGGATATTAGTTAAAGTGGTGAAAACAGATTTTATTCAGTATCTACTGACAGTAGGGGAAATTGCTGAGCTCCATCCTAATTTGTGCAGAGATGATTTGGGCATTTTAAAGGGAAGAATGAGGGAGGGGAGGGGAGAGAGCGAGGGCTCAGTAGAGTGAGAAAAGTGAAAAATTACAAAGAGTTGGTCATTGTAAATTGGATTAGGCCAGCTGTGTTTGCCAGCTGGCAATTATTATAGTTAGGATTCTATCCTCCCACAGAGACTGGGAGACAGAGGCCCTATCTTTCCTGATGATTACATTTCAGAGGAATGGCTCTCAGGTCCTTGAGAGAGACCCTTCCGAGTGGTAAGAGATATGATATTCACAACTGTAAGCTCTTTTTAGTATTAATAAACACCCTAAGAAAGGGAAATTGAGGGTCTATCATCAGGTGTTGGCTAAAACAAATAGTAAATTTTCCTGGCAGTGTTGAGCTTTCTCAGGCAGGCATTTGCTAGGGTCATCTATTCTAGGGACATAATCTTCTGCAAGTGGAAGCCATGCTAGAGTTTGGTTAAATCTCTTAGTACTGGAGTTTGGATGAAGTCATGTGTCAAAAGTTCTGTAGTTCTCAATACCCTAAAATGGTAATTGACCTTGAAAGCCTATCTTATGTGAGAATACAGTGTATTGATTCATAGTGAGAAATACAACAGGATAGTCTTGTAGATTAGCCAGCATATTTTGTAATGGTCGAAATATTTAAATTACATAGAAGAAATTTTTTTGAATATAACTCAGAGCAAAGGGAGTTAGAAAATCTTAAAGAGAAAAGAAGATACATAGAAAGACTAATTTTATAATTGTGAGTTTGGATTATTGACTGCATTGAGAATCTAATAAAAGTAAGTGATACTTTCTCCAAAAAATCATGCATGTGTAAGTTTGTTTATTTCAGTGGATTTATAAAACTCCTTGGAGTTTATGCAAAGATCTAAGAGCCCTCAGATCTGCCAGGCTGTTTAAACATTTATGTCATTTGATTAAGGGCACTTTCTTCCCATTATTCACATTGTCCTGTTTTTTTCTTTGTTCTTTCCTTTAAATAGATGTGTATATATTTATATTTTTGCAACATGCAGTATGTACACTTATACGTAAGTTGTATAATGTATACAAGTGCTGTCTGGAAAGTATCCAGCCATTCTATCCATGTATCTGTTGCATCTGTGGCTGGATACTTTGTGGACAGCCCTCCTATACCTTAGAGTCATTTGAATGAATGCTGTGTGATCACACCGCACTGAAATGAAATGAAGGATGAAAGAGAAATTTGTATTGGTAGTAAAGAGAAGGAAAGACAGAGGGGAAGCTAGAGGAGTCAGGGTTGTTGAGAGGTCTTTTTGAGAAAATGTTTTTAGGGAAGGAGAGAGAAATAATATTGAGGAGAATGATGAATTTGGATTATTAGAGTCCCAAGGGAATAAGGGTCGGCTTTGATGAGGAATAGGAGCACCCTCTCTTCTGAGCTAGGTGAGAAGTTGTAACATCTTTATTTGTACAAATAAATAAGGAGATGGTGTGGTAAGAAGGGAACTGATTAGTGATGTTTCTACTTCTTGTTCTCTGTGAAGTAGAAGGTAAAATCACTGAGAAGATAATTTGGGAATAAAAATAAGAGAGGGATTGAGGAAATGGTATAGATTTGAAACAACTTTGCTTAAGTAGTAAAAGAGAAGCAGAAAATTGCTGAGCAGCATTGAGGATCCATGTCAGGCTGCAAAGCATATCTTGACTTTGTCAAGGTCCCTTTATTTTAAAATCAGCTTTGCTGAGGTGTAATTTACATATAATACAGTGATCCTATTTTAAATGTACTGTTTGATGAATACACCTGTTTAACCACGTCACTTAAGATACAGAAGATTTTCACGACCTTACCAACTTTTTCATGGCTTTTGCAGTCAGTCCTTCCCTGCCCCCCCACTCCAAGATTGGACAACTAAGAACCTACTTAAGTACACTAGTCTTACTTATTCTCAAATTTCATATGAATCGATTCATAAAATATCCTTTTTGTGTCTGGCTTCTTTGACTTAACATAATGTTTTTGCAGTTCATTCATGTTGTTGCATATATCAGTAGTTCTTCCCTTTTTGTTGCTGTGTTCTATTGTATGAATATACCACAATTTGCTTATGCGTTTATCTGTTGAAAGTTATTTGGATTATTTGTAGTCTGGAGCTGGTATGAATAATGCTACTGTGAACATTTGTGTACAAGTCTTTTTGCGGACATATGTTTTTATTTCTCTTGGGAAAATGCCGTTGTTTTCCAAAGTGGTTGGACCGTTTTACACTCCTACTAACAGTCTGTGTGAGTTCGAGTCATTCCACATCCTTGCTAGCACTTGGTATTGTGAGTCATTATAATTTTTAGCCATTCTGCTTTGTGTGTAGTAGTATCTCATGTGGTATTTCCCTGAAGAACGATGATGTAAATCATCATTTTAAATCTTTATTGGCCATTCTGTGTCTTCTTTTGTGAAGTCTAATTTATCAGTCATTTTTTGTTTTTTATTATTTTTTCTTTGTGATTTTGGTGTCCTAATCTTTTCACAACTCAATCACACCTGATTTTCTCCTGGATACTTTCTGGACACTTCTGGATACTTTTCCTAGAAGTTTTATAGCTTTCCTTTTTTGCTTATCCATGATCTATTATTAATAAATCATAGTGTTTAATTATTGTTTCTAGTATAAGTGTCAAAGTTTATTTTTTTCCCATATGAATTTCCATTTGTTCTCGCATCATTTATTGAGAAGGCTAACTTTTCCCTATTAAATTTCATTGGCTCCTTTGTTGAAAATTGGTAGAGCATATGACTCTATTCTCCTCCATTGAGCTACGTGTTTCTCATAAATACACTGTGTTAATTAATGGAGCTTTAGGGTAAGTTTGAAATCAGGTAGTGAAAGTTCTTTGATTTCGTTCTTTTTGAAAATTGTTTTGGCTACTGTAAGTTTTTTGCATTTCTTTATAAATTTTAGAATCAGCCTATTTCAATAAAAATATCTGCTGGTATTTTGATTGGAATTGTTTTGTGTCAGTAGATTAATTTTGGGAGATTGACATCTTAAAATACTGAGTCTTTCACTCGATCATGCATATGGTATATTTCTCTATCCATTTAAGTTCCTTAAATTCTCTCACAATGTTCTGGAATTTTCATTATAGAGGTCTTATATGTCTTTTGTTGTATTTTTTTCTATTTTGTTTTCTTAGAGTGCTAGTATAAATATAGTTTTAAAAAAATGTGTTTGCAGCTGGTATATAAACATACAACTGCTTTTTGTATATTTATCTTGTATCTTTTTAACCTTGTTAAATTCACAAATACTATGCTAGTAGCTTTTTTGGTAGATTTCTTAGGATTTTTAGGTACACGATTATGGCATGTGTGAATAAAGACTGTTTTACTTTTTTCTTTTCAATCTCTGTGCCTTTTATTTTATTTATTATTTTTTTTTCGTTGCCTTATTTCAGTAGCTAGGACTTTAATATAGTGTTGAATGGAAGTGGTGAGAGTACTCATGACTGCCTTATTTCCTATCTTAGGTGGAAAGCATTTAGTCTTTCACCTTTAAGCATGATGTTAGCTATGAGATTTTCATGTATGCCCTTTCACACATGAAATTACCTTCTATTTCCAGTTTTTTGAGTTTGTATCTAGAAAGAGTATCGAATTCTATTAAATACTTTTTCTGCATCTATTGATATGATCATATGATTTTTCTCCTTTATTCAGCTAACACGGAGAATTACATTGCTTTGATTTTCAAATGCTTCACCAACATGCATTCTTGGGAGAAGCCACATTTGGTAATATGTGTATATATATG